GGAGGGAGGGAGGGAGGGAGGGAGGGAGAGAGAGCAGCAGCAGCAGCAACAGAGAGGAGCGTAGGTTAGCAGAGGTGGTGGCCAATGAGTGAATAGCTCTAAGCAGCGTCTTTCTTTGTTTCCTGGGTTCCCGTTTCCCTATAAACCTTGAATAAAAAAGAATAGAGAAAGACATTAGAAAGTGTAGGGATTTTGATGCGGACTGTTTCAGGAAACAAACAAAAATCGCTGATAGAGTGAGGGAGATAGTGAGCGGGAATACTATATATGAAATAGGATTGGGCGCTTAAGGGCATTTTGGTCAAAAAAATATTTAACAAGACTCATCATTCAAGGGCAGTTTGGTCATGAAACTTGCATTTAGATTGATGTGGACAACTTGGGTCAATGAACTTTAACGGTGTTCTAACGGATGGTGAGTTTTAGAAAATAAAATCTCACTGACATGGTGAGTTTTGGACAATTACCCTTAATAAATATATGCATAATATTATATTATAAATAATAAACGATATATAATATATTATAAATACTTTAAAAATATATAATATATAATTATTTATAAATAGATTATTATAAATATAATATAAGTATATAGTTATATATAATGAATATATATATTTATATATAATATATAGAAAACATGTGACATATTAAAAATATATATAAAATATAAATATAAATATATACCAGTTGGTTCGATTAATGCCAGTTTTTTGTAGGTTAACCGAAAACCGAACCAGTCCTTCGGTTTTTCAAAAATTCCAAACCGAAACCGAACCGATCGGTTCGGTTAACCACATTTTGCGGTTCGGTTTTTCGGTTTTTCATGGACACCCGTAGGTTTTCCCTTGTGATCCCTGCCATAGCTAGAAAATCTGATGTGCTATATTCTGCTCTAGGGATCCACCTAAAAGAGCAGTTCTGGCAGGTCATCAGTGCTCTTGTTTCTCTTACCAACAGGTCAAAGGCACTTCCCTTGACATAAACCAATTTATAACCTTCCATCACTTGTGCCAGTAGGATATTTCCACCATTATATCTGATAGCTCCTTCAATACCAGATGCTCCAGGATTACCTAAATAGAAGCCATCAAAACTCAAATTTATTCTGCCTTCCTCGGTGCCATCCATTTAGCAACCATCTGCTATCTTCTTAGAGAAAACCCCATAATTGTCTGCCAACCTTGCACTATCTCACCTATATTAACCCCCTTATTCTCCGTTCAAAATTGCTCAGTGAGCAATTCTCACCATAACAAGGTCTATCAAGAAATATACATTTTGTGTTAAGACAGGCAGAAGACCTAGGGAACCAGGGCCCAAGATCACAGTCTCGGCCCATCAACATTTCGCATGTGATTTACCCACCATCAAGCAAGTCTACAACTAAAGGCCTATAAGCAATTAGTTAGCAATTACACAGGAGCAGGAATTAATAGATCTATTGTAACAACCTGTGTGAGACTGTATACATGTTGTGATGTAATAAAGAGACAAGCAGAGAATTATCCCCCCAATTTCCTCCTCACTCTTCTCTTCTGGAGGTGATTCCCCTCAAAGGAACCCTATGATAAGTAGCTTCCTATCATCTGGTGTCAGAGCCTGATCCCATGCCAAATAAGAAGGCCACCCCAATGGAATCAAAGGTGAATCAACTAAAGTTGGAGCTCCACAAGGTGACCACTGATCTTAAAGACATTAAGGAGACTGTCCAAAGTGGTGATGAAATTCAATCAATCTCTCAGGGAGGAAGTCAAGAGAATGAACAGGAAGGGTTGAGCTCCAATAGTGGCCAACAAGTTGGATCTTGGTCTGGTAAGTCAATCAAACTGGATTTCCCCCCTTTCTTTTGAGATGATTCAAGCTCATGGATCTTCTGCGCCAAGCACTACTTTGAATATAATGAAGTCCCTAGACCAGACCAAGTGCCTATAGCTTCTATACACCTTGATGGTGAGGTGGCTCTCTGGTATCAATGGCACCGTGTTCCCGTCCCAGGATGACTTGGGCTGACTTCACAGAAGTAATCTCTGTGCGCTTTGAACCCTTTGATTTCAAAGATTATGATATGGACTTGTATATGATCAAACAACAGAGCACTGTTAGGGAGTACTAGGTTGAATTTGAATGAATGGCTATTCATGTCCAAGGGTGGCCAGAAAAAACCCTGGTGGGTTGTTTTATTGGAGGGTTATAGGAGGAGATTAGATTGGAAGTAAAAGCCATGCAACCTATCACAGTGTTGGCCATGGCTGGCCTAACTCGGCTTCAAGAAGAGAATAAACCAGCTTAAGCGGTTGAACAAACCTAGTGGTTCAGTTAATAAACCGATAGTAAGGCCAAACAAGACTAATGGGCTTCTAGGAAAGCCCAACTAGGCCCATTATTCCCTTCAATCGTTTGACCTAGCTGAAATGCAAGCAAGGAGGGAAAAGGGTTTATGTAATTGGTGCAAGGCCCAACAAGCCCTTTCGCTACAAACAGATAGCTGAGACCTAGCAGAGATGGATGATGATCCTAAGGTGGACCAGAGTGGCCTAAGGCCAACACACCAGAGATTTCAGTCCAGGCTCTCATTGGAGTGCCTTCTCCATGGACCATGAGCACAAACAGCCTGCTTGAAGGTTGCCACACGGCAATTCTGATAGATAGTGGCAGTACTATGAATTTTATCACATGTACTCTAGTTAAACAGCTGGAATCAAGGTGCAACTACCTCATCCTTCCTGGTCCACATGGCCAATGGAGGTCAGCTTAAGCGTGAAAAAATCTGCTTAGAACTCAGGTGAGAAGGAATCCCTTTATTGGTACAGATTGAGAGGGATTACAAAGCTGTTTATG